AAGAGAAAGATGACATTTTCTATTTAAAAAGGAAATAACCGAATGATTCACATGACGTAGACGAACATGCCATAAATCATATGAAGCACGTAAAGATTTGTTTCTAAGGGCTGAAATAAAGGCAGAGTTGCCGCGCTCTAGCACATATAACCCTCCATCTCTTTTACCGGTTGCCACCACCCTTCCTGTTTGATGATTCTGGATAGTAATAAGATTATTAGTAAATGTAACGGAGAGAGGAAAGTCAGACGTTAATTTACTTATGGAAAGAAGATTTTTAGTGAGGTGAGGGACAACCAAGACATCTAATAAGTGAATATTTGGAACAGGAGAAAGAGTACCGGTGTGGGTAATGGGTAGAGATGCACCGTTTCCTACGATCACAGAGTCCTTACCCGTGTAATTTTTAGACTGATCCAGAATAGATGGGTCGGCAGTCATATGGATCGAAGCACCAGTGTCCAGGAACCAATCAGCAGCATCGGGTCCAGCAATAGAACATGACGTGTTAAAGGCTTCAGCAAGGTGAGCATGAGAAGAATCAGGTCGAACATACCGTTGGTTGCAGCGGTCAGCATAATGGCCCTCTTTGCGACATATTTGGCAGTGAGGTGGTCGACGACCCTAACTTGAGTGGGTTCGTCCTCGACTAGAAGAGTTGTTTTGGTGAGAATAAGAACAACCTCACTGGTTGGTAAAGGAAGTAGGGTGGTGGGTGCGACCACGATTAGTGGCTGTGAATGCTGTAGGAGTGAGTCAGAGAACTCAAGGGAGCGCTGGAACAACTCAAAACTTTCAGTTTTAGAGACTAAATCTGCAAAATAGGGGATAGGGGCGAGAGCCATCTGAGTAGTAGAAAAAGCTAAAAATTCGGTGCCGAGTTCACGAAGGAACCAGTGCACTTTATCAATGTCCTCGACGGGTCTGCCAATGGCATGAAGTTGGTCACAAATTTTTTTGAAGGCACGGGCATACTCAGCAATAGGTTTGATGCCACGTTTCATCAACTGCAAGTCATCCTTGAGTCTCAGTTCACGAGCTTTCGACTGATGGCTGAACGTATTTCCAACGCAAGCCAAACATCACGTGCAATAGAGAGACCAACGACAACAACCATGGCTTCCTTAGTGAGAGAGGAGAGCAGGAGACAGAGAAGTCGTTGATCGGCTGCTCTCCATGCCTAATATTTGAGGTTGAGTGTTGAGGAGGTTTCTGGTTCAAAGCGAGGTGGTGGAATCATAGTTCCATCGACATAGCCCAGCATGTCTTGACTCTCAAGGAGAGGGAGAAGTTGGCTTTTCCAAAGAAGATAATTGGAGGAAGAAAGTTTGATGGTGATCATATGGATTAGAGTATTGAAAGGAAGAAGATGATAAGAAGATTCAGAAGCCATAGAGAAGAAAGGATCAGGGCCTTTAAACCAAAAAGGGCTCTGATATCATGAGAATGTTTGTTGAATCCACCATGCTTTAAATGGGGTGAGAGTTCTCTTATTTACAATCATTTACAGAATACAGAAATATGGTAAATTACAAATAATATGGAAATAGCAAAAGGAAAGAATAATAAATGAATACAATATATTTGCCTTTAATAAAAGGGCAAATATGGTAACCCGTAATGTAAGGCAAATATAGATATTTGCCTTATAATGAACGGTCAACTATCCTTAACATAATGCATATATCAACCTTTAGCACATGGTCTGTGGTGCAATGTCTGTACACCCATGTCGTTTGACACTGTCTTTGAAGACTAATTTCAAAGAAAGTCACCTGGACACTCGTCTTGCAACACTCAGCCTTAGTGTGACACAATATGTGCCACAAGGTAGCTCACTTAGGTCACATGGTCTAGGGATGGTGGAGAGCTGACATCATGCCTCCCCCTAAGGTACATTCTGAGGCATTTTTTGGTATGACAGGAGTAGACATGATTTTGGTGAACGGTCATACGATCTCATGGACCATCTATCCGGTGTCTGATTGACACCAAATTTGACGAGCTTCAAACTTAACTCTAGAGTCGCATGCTCAAGCTCCTTTTGGAATCCCGACTTTTGAGGTTAAAGCTTGGGGCCCTACCTGGCCTTTTAACACGCCTATCTTTGACCCTTTTGTTTACTTGTTACCTCTATCTTGTTTATGCCTTAGTTTGACTCAAATGCACATCTATTTGGTTTGTTAGATGACCATCCTCCTCGGTCACATCATGACACTTGTCTATCTTGGCGCTCATATAGCTAGATGGACGCCACTTGAGTGTCGCCGCCTTGTCTATCACCATGTTACACTTACTTATCACACCATGTTACAGTTGTGACAATTTCTCATTTGTCTTAAGAATTAGGTTAAAGATGAATCAGGATACCATGAGTCACGAGCTTGCATCGTGTGTGCCCCTTGAGAGACGGACTAAACAAGCTCGATTCTTTTGTGTTAGTCTAAATTTTATCTCACATTTGACATTATTTTACTTTACAATAATATTGTTCTCTTGGTCTAATTTTACTAGTATCATTAGCCCAATTTCCGCATTAAAAATTTATAATTTTACCTATAACATGACTATATATATCCTAATTTGATAATAATCTTTTTTATTTTATCGGCTTTTTTTTAAAAGATTTGTTCATTTAGCTTTTTCATACACGGAAGTACTTTTGACGTTAAGCCGATACACACCTCAACTATTTTGAGTTATTAAAGAAATTATTATGTCAATCGTATCCCACATGGTCACAACTGCGAGCACTCGATATAATCAATGTAATGATGTCATCGGTACTCTTTTGTCACCAACCGACCCTTTACTTTTCAACCTCCCCATTTTCATTTAATTTAGTTTTGGAAATTCATTGTATTTCAATCTTGTTCGTTCTTTTATTTAAATCTGTCAACTTTCAAATCTCATTTCTTTCGATCACTCCTACCTCCAAGTCTATTGCAATTCTCTACTTGAGAGCTTCTTTAAATGTAGTCAGGTTTGCAAGTTAGCGGTAAAATAGAACCAAATTCTTAGGTACAACTTCTTCTAAATTTATGTGAGATCCCACGTCACCCTCGGTAAGAAAAGAAAGATAGATCTCTTGTCCTCTCAACCGCAGGAACAGGGAACGAATCCTCCAATAATGGAATGGGTTCACAATGACAGACCTAATCAGCCCCCTCATCACTGACCGCTATTTTTTCTTGATGGGAGTGAACAATGTTTTTTCTGGCGTTCCTTTCTGACAAGCATGAGAGCGATGGTTTTCCAAGATCGGCGGGTTGGAGAGGGAAATGAAGCATTTCTTACAAGGGTGTGAAAATCAGACGCGTTTTAAAATTGTGAGGCTGATGACGATAAGTAACGGACTGAAGTAGACAATATCTATTAGCTTGGATTTGAAAAATTACAATTTCCCCACTCACGTAATTATTTTATCATAAATAATAATAATAATAATAATAGTTTTTGTACCAGCGTTTGAAATTATGCCCAAAATATATTTTTAATTAATTAATTATCTAATTCAAATAATTTAAATGTTTTTAAAATTAAATTTTTATGAATGTTACCAACTAAACCTCATATTTTGTAAATTTTTAATAATTAATGCAATTTTCCATTTATTTTATTTTTTATTTTTTTGTAAATATTATTTATTTGCAAGGCCTTAAAAAGGACTCAGGCATGCATTAAATTTGATTTTTGTCGTATTATTAAGGCTATTAATTGAACACAGAAGGGTTGCAATCAATATGTGGGGATCACTTTCTCCAAGCCTATATCAAGCGAACACGACGACCTTTCGAATTCGGAGAAACATGAATTGAGTTTTTGGACCTCTTAATCAACGTCGTGATAGTACTAGGTCAGTATGAAAAATATCACTCGATATTAGTCAATTCTAAGAGATGCGTAATATCATTTCATTGAGAGGGAGGATCCCGTGCTTGTTAAGCTACTAGTTTCATGTAGTCCCTCGCCCTTCCTGGAAGCATTTTGAACGAGGAATAGTTTAGGATCCATTAATTGTACCCATATGAGGTCTCTTTATGACACGATATTTTAGGGCACAACTTTGCTACTCCATCTCCAGACAGATCATTATGGATAACTGTAGTCTCGTATTCCTGCGATAGGTCCACTAATGGGAGCTACTGGCTTAATTACCAATCTCCATACTGTTATATAACTCGTGAGGAATGACCTTTGTAACTATTGTCACACTACAAACGCTCGCCCCTCTTTAAAACAAGTTCATGATTAGGGGTGAACTAGCGAGCTCGTTCGTAGTCCCTATTATGAGATTCTTGTGAATTTTCGTGCTACATACTTCTTAAATTATTGGCCATGTTTGTTATATTGTTATGCTTTATACCCGTGAGATATTATGACATACCATGTACCATAAACAACAATATTATAAAAAACTAAAAATTTTTATTTGGCCTGACTTTCCAAATTTTCAATAATATCATTAATTAAACAAAAAAAACTTTGAATTTTTAATAGTATTTTTTAAATACCCTTAACTAAAAAAAACATTAATATCTTTCTAATTAAAAAAAAAACTCTTATTATTAATATCATATTTAAAAAATATATAAAAATTTAGTTTAAAAAATATTCTTATTACTAATATCATGTTTATAAAATATTAATAAAAATTTAAAACCGCTTTAATATCTTTAATTTTTATAAAAAAAAAATTTATTGTCAATAAAAAAATAAAAATAGTTTATTTACATTTTATAGATTATTTTTAAACTTTTTAATAAAATTTTTGAAATTAAAGATATTTTAAAAATTAAAATGATATTTACTTATATATTTTTCTAAAAATTAATAGTAAATTAAAAAGATATTTTTGAAATAAATATTATATTTCCCCAAAACTAATAGTAAATAAAGACCCTTTAAAAAATATGGACAGACAGAGTGCAACCGGTTATTATTTTTTATTTATTTATGAATTTAGCTATATTATAAATAACCCCCTGCGTAACAAAAACGTCGAAGTAAGTCACTAACTGAATCCTGTTTTTTGCAGAGCAAGGTCATGGCCGACGATTCTAAGAAGAACATCCTTCAGTGCCCTGCTCTTCTCCAGGTTCGTTCCGGTTCCTAACTGAATCCTGTTCGTGATTTTATTTCAATTCTGATGACTAATTAATAATCTCTGCACTGCGCCTTCATTATGTTAATTACTCGCGATTGTTCTAAGATGAATTAGTTTAATCAAACACTGTTCATAAAAATCGCTGAAGATTAGAGAAGTTTAAGAGTACTTGTATTTGATTGCAGTACATACTGGAAGAGAATTCGTATCCGAGAGAGCATGAACAGTTGAAGGAACTCAGAGAAACCACGTTAGAAACGTTCAAGTCCCGGTGAGATTCCGGTTCTTCTTCCGATTTAGATTTTTGCGATTTCAATCCATTTGGATTCGATTAGGAAAGACTTAGAACGATCGATTCGGCTGGATTGAGTTCGATAATCGTGTACGAGAGTGTTTAATGATTTTGGAAGGAAATTTGGGGATTGAGTTGCAGGAGCGTGATGAGCGTACCGGCGGATCAAGGATTGTTTTTATCAATGCTTCTGAAATTGATGAACGCAAAGAAAACGATCGAGATCGGCGTATTCACTGGCTATTCGCTCCTTACCACTGCGCTAGCACTGCCCGCTGATGGTCAGGTACGGCCTAGATTCCCCCTCAATGTTCATCGCCATCATCCGCTGCTTAATTTCGGTTCAATTAGTTTAAACTATCATTTTCCACTAATTCCTTTCCTTTTTCTTTCCTCAAATGCTTAAATTTAGTTTATGATATTAAATAAAACTTAAAATTACTTGGTTTCAATGTCAATTTTGATCCAAATTCATATATATTTTATTATTTTGTTTGTTTATTTGCTATGGTAGATTACTGCTATTGATATAAGCAGAGAATCATTCGAGGTTGGCTTACCGTTCATAAAAAAGGCCGGAGTTGATCATAAGATCAATTTTGTAGAATCACAAGCATTGATCGTCCTCAACGATCTCCTCAATGACGTAAGTTGTTATGTTCAAGGAAAAAGAAAATTACATAAATGATTGTCGTACATTTCATTTAAAATACAATAAATTCATGGTTGGTACCGAATTAAATATTATGTATTTTTTTTCTTGTTGAACAGGGAAAAGAAGGAGAATTTGATTTTGTGTTTGTGGATGCTGATAAAGGAGAGTACATTAAATATCACGAATTGCTTATGAAATTGGTGAAAGTCGGTGGAGTAATTGCTTATGACAATACCCTATGGTTTGGAACAGTGGCACAGAGTGACGACGTTGTTGATGAGAAATTAAAGGCTAGTAGAAACCATATACGAGAACTTAATGCTTTTCTTGTTAATGACTCGCGCGTTGAGATAGCTCTACTCTCCGTTGGAGATGGCATCACTCTCTGCAGACGTATTGAGTAAGTTTTTTTATTTTTTTTATCTTTAAATTTTTCTAATAGATGATTTGTTATTTATTATCATGCAAAATTTATAGATGTTTGTTTAAGATGAAAATACCTAGGTCTCGATTTTACAAAAATATAGAAAAAAATGTCGTAAATTGTAAAAAAAAAAAATATAATAAATAAATTATTAAGCAAATAGTTTAGACTTTTTTAAATATGTGAAAATAATTAGTAGAGAAAGAGAGAGATAAATGAAGAGAGGGAAATTAATGGGATGAAATTATTTACTCATTCTATATGTGGGCCCCATTTTTTAACTCATCATATGAAATAGTTTAATTTATCAATGGCCAATCAAAAATTAAAGAAAAATAAAATGATATTTTCTCTCTCCTCTCGGTTCTGAACAAAAACTACCTTTTACCTTTTTCCCTTTGCCCGTCGACTCGAGTGACCTTTCTTCTTGCAAGACCAACACTCTATCTATGTTTTTAATATCCTTCTGCACTCACTTTGTGCTTATTCTTTTTTTGAAACTTGATTGAGCAGTCATTTTTCGTATCTGTGGTGCGCCCTATCACTCTAAATCGAAGCGATGGAAGCACCACTCTCTTTATATGCTTTCGCTGTCTGGCGTATTCTCGTTACCATGGAAACTGTGGTTAGCATTTCCACAATGCTCTTCTACAGCTTCTTCAATTACATAGATAACAACTCCTCTCCCTTCAGTCTCGTTGCTTCGCTCCTCTCCTTCTTTGTTGAAAACATCTCTTTCACTTTGTCTTTGTCTTCTCTATATCGAAGATCACACCGTGCCTCCCCCAGTCCTTTCCTTCCTCGTTTTCCTCTCCCTCTCCTATTAACCACCACAAATCCTCATGCCTCACCACCCACACATGATATATTTCCATCTCGAGTGCTCAGTGACACAATCGCGCTTTCGAAGGCAGCGGACTAGCGATTGTGCGGCACTCACTTTCTAGCGACAAGTGAGTTCAGCCTATTTGTTCTTGCGTCGCCTACGGCCAAGCGACGTACGGTCAAGCCTCTAGCCTCGGTTTTAAAAGAAGGTTTTAGAAAACGAGGAGAGAGAGAGATTTTAGAAAGAGAGGTTTTAGAAAGAGACGTTATATAAGCAAGCAAGAGAAAGATAACAACGGCTTAGCATATATAACCTTGGGTAGGGAGAAGTTGACGACTAGTCATATCCCCCTATAGTACATTCTAGGCCATTTTAGTTCTGGCAGGCCTAGACATGATATTTTTGAGGTGTCATACGCTTTAGAATTACAAAGGGAAAAACACTAGAATGAAAAGACATGACAAGGGTTTGGCTTGTCATGGGCATGCGGCCATGGGCAACATGCCCTGGACAAGCATGACCGTGACATCCTCCCCCACCTAATTGGCTGACGTCCCTGTCAACCGACTACTTTCATACCTTGTGATGTGGGTGGCGGCGGAGTTCAGATCTTCGGCTCGTTCCCAGCTTGTTTCCTCTGTAGGGAGATTCTTCCATTTGACAAGGAATTCCCGAATCGTCCGTACAGGTCTTCCTATCTTCCTAACCTTGTCGGCTAGGATCTCTTCCACTTCCTTTGTTTCCTTTTGCTTCAGATCGATGTTCGGTCTTGTGGTTGCATTTCGTTGGTCGTCGTCTGGATCAGGGTGATAAGGCTTCAAGTTGCTCACATGAATGACGGGGTGGATTTTCATCCACGCGGGTAGTGCAACTCTGTAGGAGGTAGCCCCGATCTTTTTAAGGACTTCAACCGGGCCTTCGTACTTACGAACTAGTCTCTGGTCCTTTCGGCTGCGAAATCTGATCTGTTCCGGTCTCAGCTTGATAAGGACTTGATCTCCTGCACGGAAATGAAGGGGGCGACGCTTCTTGTCCGCCCATTTCTTCATATGTTTGGAAGCCTTCTCTAAATATGCCCGGGCTATATCCGTCGTCTGCTTCCATTCCCTTGTAAAGTTGTGAGCTTGGGGGTTTGTTCCTGCATAAGGATGATCAATAATATGGGGTAAGGCTGGTTGTCGTCCACTTACAATTTCGAAGGGACTCTTCCCTGTAGATGAGCTGGTTTGACAATTGAAGCAAAATTGGGCGACATCTAACAATTGTATCCAGTTCTTTTGGCGAGCGTCGACGAAGTGACGTAAGTATTCTTCGAGCAAGCAATTGAACCGTTCTGTCTGTCCATCGGTTTGAGGGTGATAACTCGAGGAGATGTTTAAGGTTGTTCCCAAGAAAGCGAATAACTCAGTCCAGAATGTCCCAATGAATCTGCCATCCCTATCATTGATGATGCTTGACGGAATGCCCCATAACTTTACAGCGTGTTTGAAAAACAGTTGGGCTGTGAGTTCCGCCGAGCATAATTTGGGAGTGGGGATGAATGTCGCATATTTGGAGAATCGGTCTACAATAACCAAGATGGCGTCATATTCCCCGACCTTTGGGAGGTGTGTTATGAAGTCCAGGGATACACTTTCCCAGGGTCTTGTTGGCACAGGTAGAGGTTCCAAGAGTCCAGAGACTTTGGCTTTCTCGACCTTATCCTGTTGGCAGATGAGGCACGTCTTGGTGTATTGCATGATGTCGTCTCGCATGTTTGGCCAGAAGTACCCCTTCTTTATTAGGGCGTATGTTCTTTGCCACCCAGGATGTCCGACCTACAAGGTATCATGACATTCCTGAATGAGCTTCTTCCTCAGCTCCCCTGTTCTTGGGACGTACAATCTGTTTCCTTTGGTTATCAGGAGGTCCCCTTCAACCCAAAACTGCCGTGTCTTTCCAGCCTTAGCTAGTTCGACAACAGCTTTGGCCGATGGGTCTTTGTGTAAATGTTCCTTGATGATGTCGCGCATCGATCCATCGATCTTACTTGAATGAATATGGGCTAACATGCACAGGGCCGCATGTTCGCCCTTCCGACTCAGCGCGTCGGCTGCTTGATTACTCTTTCCTGCTTTGTGTTCGAACTTGAAGTCGAATTCGGCCAACGACTCCTGCCACCGGGCTTGTTTTGCTGTTAATTTTGGTTGATCAAAGAAGTGGCAAGTGGCGCTGTTATCCGTCTTCACTACGAACTGTGATCCTAAGAGATACTGTCTCCAGACTCGAAGGCAATGGACTACGGCTAACATTTCTTTCTCGGAGACAGTGTATCTTCGTTCGGCATCGTTGAGCTTTCGACTTTCGTAAGCGATGGGGTGGCCTTCTTGAATAAGGACTCCCCCGAGAGCAAAGTCGGAAGCATCGGTTTCTACTTCAAATGGCTTTGTGACGTCTACCAACTCGAGGACAGGACCCCTCGTCATGGTTGTTTTCAGATTTTCAAAGGCCATTTGACAATCATTCGACCACAACCAAGGGTGGTCTTTCTTCAACAGCTCTGTCAATGGGGCGGCTCGTCGTGAAAACCCTTCGACGAACCGCCTATAGTAATTGGCTAGTCCTAAGAAGGACCGCAACTCAGATACGGAAGTAGGAACCTTCCATTCTTGGATAGCTTTTATCTTGTCGCTATCCATGCTAATTTGTCCACATCTGACAACATGTCCAAGGAAGTTGATGCATGTTTGTGCGAATGCACATTTCTCTTTCTTCACATACAGCTGGTTCTGCCGGAGCTTGTCAAACACTAACTTCAAATGCACTTTGTGTTCCTCGAGGGTTGTGCTGTAAACAACAATGTCGTCGAGGTACACTATGACGAATTGATCCAGGTATTTGTAGAAAACCTGGTTCATCAACGTGCAGAACGTAGCTGGGGCGTTTGTCAAGCCAAAGGGCATTACTAGGAATTCGAAGGCCCCATATCTAGTTACGCACGTCGTCTTGGGTTCGTCCCCTGCGGCAATGCGGACTTGATAATATCCTGATCGTAAGTCCAACTTCGTGAAGTACTTGGCCCCATGAAGTTGGTCGAACAAGTCAGATATTATCGGCAGAGGATATTTGTTGCATACGGTTACCTTGTTTAAGGCTCTATAGTCTATGCACAGACGCAACGTCCCATCCTTCTTCTTCTGGAACAGTACAGGGGCTCCATAAGGGGCCTTTGCCGGGCGAATGAATCCCGCCTTCAACAACTCATCCAGTTGTTTCCTCAATTCGGCTAGCTCGGGTGGAGCCATCCGGTATGCGTTCTTCGCTGGCGGCTTAACCCCGGGAAGGAGTTCGATTTCGTGGTCAATGCCTCGACGAGGGGGTAGTGTTTGTGGTAAACTCTCCGGCATTATGTCGGTATAGCTGTCTAGTACTTCCTTGATTTCCTCTGGGACAGTCTCTTCGGTGGTTGCTTCTTCTATCAGTGGTATGGCCATGAATGTAGGTTCCTCTCGTGCAAGTCCCCTTTTCAGTTGTATGGCCGAGATCATTCGAAGACTACCCGGTTGCTTGATGCTTGCAGGTATTACTGTGGGATTACGATCGGTGATCACCAAGCATTTTGCCAATGGCATTGGGATGACCTTGTGTTCTAGGAGGAACTCCATCCCAAGTACCACGTCGAAGTCGTCCATGCGAACCACGACAAGGTCTAGCTCTCCAGTCCAATCCTCTATTTTGAAGGGGACTCTCTTAGAAACTCCCACAATAGGCAAGGCCTTGGAGTTGACAGCTTTCATTTTCCCCGGATCTTTTCCTATGGTGAGTCCCAATCTTCTGGCTTCTTGATCGGCAATGAAGTTGTGGGTTGCTCTAGAGTCTATCAAAGTGCTCTTGCTCGGTTGAGAGTTTATTGTGGCATCCACGAACATGAGCCCTTTCTCCATTACCTCCTTCGGTTCGACTTCCCGTTGGAGGGCTGACAAGAATTTGAGTCCGCCCATTCGGGGGTTGTCGTGATCTTCCTTCTTGTCTAGCAAAGTCTCGACCCTTGCTTCATTGCTCTCTTGAATGGACACTTGAAGTGCAGTGAGAGAGGCCCGGTGAGGACAGTAGGATACCTTGTGGGGGCCTTTACACAGCATGCATTGCAAAGGCGTCGTCGGGTGGTTCCTTTGATGGTAAGGCCCTCGAGATGTCCCCGCTTGATTGTTCTGAGGAGGTCTATCCGTCCATCCATTCGGTCTGTTGGGGCTTCCATTTCGCTGGCCCGGTGGTCTGTATGGTTTGCCCCCATTGTTTGGGGCTGGTGTCGCTCTTCTCTGGGATCCTGCTTCGTTCCCACAGTCTACGAGTCTCTCGGCGCAGGCCATTGCGGCAGCTAGGGTTTGGACCCTGTTCTCATGTATCTTTGTTTTGGCCCACGGCTGTAGACCATTTATGAAGAAGAACACCTTGTCCTTCTCTGCTGTGCCCCTGATATCCAGCATCAGGGTTGAGAACTGTCTGACGTAGTCCCGTATGTTTCCAGTGTGTTTCAGGGCTACTATTTTCTCTATTGCTATATGTCCTGCGTTTTCGAGGAGGAATTGTTCCCTCAACTCTCTCTTGAGGTCCTCCCATGAGTCGATGGTGCACAATCCATCCTCGATGTCTTGCACCTTCGTACGCCACCACAGTTTGGCGTCGTCTATGAGGTACATCGCGGCTACAGTCACCTTCTTGTCGTCGGTACAAGCCGTTGTGGCTTTGAAGTACTGTTCGACGTCAAAGATGAAGTTCTCCAACTCTTTGGCATCTCGATTCCCTTTGAAGGCTCTAGGGTCTGGGAACCTTAGTTTGTTGGATCCTGTACTAGTTTGTCCAGCCGCGACACCTTCCACGGCTTTCATGGTAATTTCAATTCGAGTGCTCATGGCGGCCATCCTTTCTTGGAGGTCGTCGACTGTTGTTCTGAATTCATCAGCCAATCCATTGAACAAACTCATCATTGTGTTTTGTAGTACATCGAACTCTTCACCACGTCCCTCTTTGTGTGCGACAGAGCTATCCGGACTATCAGACGGTTTTGGGCTGCTCGTAGGAGCAACTCTTTCTTCGAGCGAGGTCACTCGAAACAATAGTTCTGCGATTGGCAACTCATCCAGGCGGTTGCCCATTGCGTCGACTTGGACGACTTTCTCACTCAGTTCGGTCACCCGTGTTTCCAGGAAACGGAGGGTGTCAGGGACTTCTTTGAGGAACAGCATTTCCTCCTCTATTAGCGTAAGCCGGTCGGCTTGTGCTTTGGGTGTCGACTTTGTCGTCGACATGGTCTCGGTCTGTATGACGTTACGGAGCTAACAAAGCTCTGATACCACTTGACACAATCGCACTTTCGAAGGCAGCGGACTAGCGATTGTGCGGCACTCACTTTCTAGCGATAAGTGAGTTCAGCCTATTTGTTCTTGCGTCGCCTACGGCCAAGCGACGTACGGTCAAGCCTCTAGCCTCGGTTTTAAAAGAAGGTTTTAGAAAACGAGGAGAGAGAGAGATTTTAGAAAGAGAGGTTTTAGAAAGAGACGTTATATAAGCAAGCAAGAGAAAGATAACAACGGCTTAGCATATATAACCTTGGGTAGGGAGAAGTTGACGACTAGTCATATCCCCCTATAGTACATTCTGGGCCATTTTAGTTCTGGCAGGCCTAGACATGATATTTTTGAGGTGTCATACGCTTTAGAATTACAAAGGGAAAAACACTAGAATGAAAAGACATGACAAGGGTTTGGCTTGTCATGGGCATGCGGCCATGGGCAACATGCCCTGGACAAGCATGACTGTGACACTCAGCCCACGACTTAACCGTGCACAAGCCTAACTCGGTTGGTCACTTGTTAGTTGTCACAATCAGATTCTTGTGACAGCAGAACAACAATTGTGCAACACTTCTTTTAACCTAGTGAGCAAGTCAATCATATGGAAATTGTAAGTCACGAATAATTCAGACGTATAATCGAGTCTCGGTCACGTTTGAGAGAAAATATTTTGGAAAACGTGTGCGAGAAAATGCAATGAAAATAATTTGTAAGAAAGCAATATTATAGGCTAAAAACAAATAAGCAACCACCACGATTTGATAACACACACATAACCTAGGTAGGAAGAATTTACGATTAGCCACAACCCTATAATACATTTTGGGGTGTTCTAGCCTTGACTAATGTAGACATGATTTTGGTGAATAGTGATGCACCCCACGTTGACACCATAGAAATAGAAAAGACCTAACTATACATGAAAGTAAAAGGGGTTTGGAGCGGGCATGTGGCCATGGACAACACGTCCTAGACAGGCATGATTGTGTCATCTTCCCCATTTAATTGGTTGATGTCCCTATCAATTGACTCTTCACAAACTCAGCGATATAGGATGAGGTTGATTTCAAGTCTCCTGTGACATCCTCCCCACTCAATTGGTTGATGTCTCTATCAACTTACTCTTCACACACTCAACAATATAGGATGAGGTTGATTTCAGGTCTCCTGTGACATCCTCCCCCACTTAATTAGTTGACGTCCCTATCGACCGACTCTTCACAAACTTAGGAATATAGGATGAGATTGATTCCAGGTCTCTCGACGGGCTTTCAGCTGATTTATGCTTTGAGGAGTCTCTTCAAATATGTCGGGAACTGTTGAAAATCACTTCTCATTCCTCGACTCTATGCCCCTTTCTCTATCAGAATTTCTCTACTTTTTTCGCGGTGGAATTCTTCTTTATGGCAAGAGGTTGTACCACCTCTTTCTGCTTAGTGTGTTCTTGGTTAGGATAGTAATGTTTCAAGTTGTCAACAATAGGGCAAGTCCACATCTATGGGAGCAATTGAATTCTATATAATCATTATATGTTGAAATGTACGTTATTATGTAAGTATATCGATGAACATATTATGAGTCATGATCATGAAATTCTAGTAGAATAGTAATGTTGACGGTGCATGTATATGATTCATGTCATGATATGGTGCTATGATACTACTCTTACGGATAGAAATGCTAGCCATGCAAGAAATTATGATATTACATGAATAGGCATATGACAATATGTCACGAATTATTTTGTGTCTTCTTATTTGATGGTACCTCATGCATATATATGTTTACGAGCTATGATAATTAGAGGATATGAAGAGGTGGTGATATGACCCTTGACGTTTTTGTAACGTTGCGATTTTCTGTTTAAACTTGATAATATGGTCACGAGAGAGAGAGAGAGAGAGAGAGTGACGATATGACCGTCCTAAATTTTAGTGGCGGTATGACCAATAGAGGAAAGTTATGGAAGAAAAGTCTTCAAGCATAACATGCTCGTATGTATTTGCATTTTTCGACCTTAATAATTATGTCATTTACTAGGTATTTTTATTTATAATATTTAACCCCTTTAGAAAAATGTTTCATTTTTTCAGGTAAGAACAAGTGCAAGCAGGGTGGATGATGACGACGTCTGTTGCACAACCATGAAAATCATATGGATTTTAGATTTCTCGTATTTTCTTTTCTATCGAACCTTTGAACTAAAGAGTTTGTGTTTCATTTTGAAGAACTTATTAGTTTATTTGACTCGGACCTGTTCTAAAAAAGTCGAGGCATTTCGAATTGCCTGAGTCGATTCCATGATTATAAGTTCATTCCATACCGAGCCAGACTGGAATAATGTCTTGGTGGGGAAGTTATAAAAACCTTTCCGTACTTGTAAAATGTTATTTCTCCTCTAAATGCTAGAACTATGTTATATTAGCTTTTTAAATGTGATAAGTGTTTTGAAATTCATGTTTCATTCTATAAAAAGAAAATTATAAATATTTTTTTAAATAAATGTCAAGTCATGCATGTAATAGTAACACTAAAGTTTATAGATCGACGGAGGACAGTGAGTGAAGCTTTCGAGTTGAGGAAAAGAACGACCTCATTGCGTTACGCTTGACCACTATCTCATCATCTTCTAGTATCAAGGGAGGGACGAACAACGATCGAAAAATGGAAAGAACAACATTGGAGTATGTTATGGGAAGAGAGAAAAAATGGAAAGAATTCAGGCAGTCGGGTGAAGAAGAAAGGATCCATGAGTCGATGTTGGGTTGGATACTCATATCCATCTCCAACAGCCCACGACCCGCATCTCGTACGCAACTTGTGCTCGCAATCCCTTTTAGTCCAACAGACACGCATGACCTAGCTAGTCACGGCCTGTACACAACTTACGATCCAATAGACGCAACCAGTGCGCTCGAGAACATGACCCAACCCGTCCAACAACCCGCGCGCACCTCCAACCTCCTTACACGTGCGTGACGTGTCTCCTTATCGGCTCACTCAGCTCAATACCGATTTTCACATTTTTTACCCTCCCGGAGCTAATTTTGACCTTATTAAAAGAATTTAAAGTCGGTACAATTCTCATTTTCTCAATTTAACTTCAATTAAGTTAGGAGTTAGGATTTCTGAAGGTAATAGTTGAATGTGTCTAATATGTGAAGCGCCTCGACACAAGTGGAAACAAATTCAAGGGACGAAGACAAGTCGATTCGAAATTAAATAGAAACTTCGGCTAAGGCCAACTAAGTAAGTGACTTTACTATCAGCATGGTCGGAAGAGTGGTCTTATGTATGATAACACATGCCTAATGCCCCTGAACGTGTCATACATTTAATATGATTGTTATGTTTGATGATATGATATATTTTGCTATATGATATGCCAAATGTGCCAATATTAGAACGTAAATGGATGTCATACTATGACTGATGAATTATGTTATGTTATGAGATGTCATGGTGTACTATGATATAAATATGTTTGACAATGACGGGTTATGACATGTTATGATATGGCCCATGACCGCATGCCCGTTACACGCAGAAACTCTTGCCTTGTACTACTTTATGGCATTCTTTTACTGCTTTCATATTGTATTATTTCTTTCTTGTTTTCTTTAAGAGTACGACATTTCGGCGAAATCATGGCTACACCTGGTAGACATGAAATGCCTCAAAATGTACTATAGGAGGATGCGATTAGTTGTCAAATTCTATATACCCAAGAAGCTATATACTGTTTAAGCAGTTGTTGTTGCATTTTTGCTTGCATACTATATAACACCACTCTCAATCTCTCTCTCATCCTTGCTCTCAAAACTCTTTTCCGAAAACCTCTTTCCCCATTTTCTAAAATCTTCTCTTCAAATCAGGGCCCGAGGTTTGAATACACGTTGCTCGACCATAGGCAACGTGATCCAAAGTTGGCTTGACTCACTCAATGCTAAGAGTGAGTGCCGCACAATCGCCAAATCCGCTACCAAGAAACGGCTATTGTGACACACTGTGTGTAAATAAGTAATACGCATCCAACACACCGAAAAAGAAAGCAAGATCCAAGAAATAGTTATAAAAATTAGGTTTCGCCAACAATGAAACATGCTGCATATTGTTGCATTTTTCGACCATCACAATGAAGTTATTTACCGAATAGTTTTAAATACTTATCTTACATCGAATATTTTTTCAAGTAAAAGTAAAAGACCGATATACCCTTGATCGTGACCATTGATAGTTAACCGAACAGATTTAGCAATGTTTTTATTTTTGGAATTAAATATGGAATGTTTTTAATTAATTACAAATCATTTTAATTAATTTTCTACTTAAATTAGGCATTACACCATATAGTAATGATTATTTTAAAACAAAAATATAAAAGCCGTTACACATTTCCAACTCAAATCATTTAACAACTTTCCTAAAAATGTACAACGCGCTGTATGCTATAAAACGCTCTCAGGAAGTCCTTCGTTCGTTCGTTCATTGCAGAGGTCATGGCCGGCGATTCTAAGAACATCCTCCAGTGTCCTGCTCTTCTCCAGGTTTGTTCCTGTTCCTAATTGAATCTTGTTCGTGATTTTATTTCGATTCTGAGGACTAATTAATAATCTCTGCTCTGCGCCTTCATTACGTTAATTACTCGCACTTGTTCTGAGATAAATTAGTTTAATCAAACACTGTTCATAAAAATCGCTGAAGATTAGAGAAGTTTAGAGCACTTGTATTTGATTGCAGTATATACTGGAAGAGAATTCGTATCCGAGAGAGCACGAACAGTTGAAGGAGCTCAGAGAAACCACGTTAGAAACGTTCAAGTACTGGTGAGATTCCGATTCTTCTTCCGATTTAGATTTTTGCGATTTCAATCCGTTTTGATTCGATTAGGAAAGACTTAGAACGATCGATTCGGCTGGATTGAAGTCGATAATCGTGTAGGAGAGTGTTTAATGATTTTGGAAGGAAATTTGGGGATCGAGTTGCAGGAGCCTGATGAGCGTACCGGCGGATCAAGGATTGTTTCTATCGATGCTTCTGAAACTGATGAACGCAAAGAAAACGTTAGAGATCGGCGTATTCACTGGCTATTCGCTCCTTACCACTGCGCTAGCACTGCCCGCTGATGGTCAGGTACGGCCTAGATTCCCCTTCAATGTTCATCGCCATCATCCGCTGCTTAATTTCGGTTCAATTAGTTTAAACTAACATTTCCGCACTAATTCCTTTCCTTTTCTTTTCTCAAATGCTTAAATTTAGTTCATCTCTATTAAATAAATCTTAAAATTACTTAGTTTCAAGTGAATTTTCTTCAAAATTCGTTAAATAATAGTAATAACAATAGTCATGAACACATATTTCAAAAAAAAGATTAACAGAAACCAATATTTTTTAAAAATTAACTATAAACAGTTTATAAAATTTGGAGATTTGAGACTAAAATAAAATAAAATTCAAATTACATTTTGTTTTTATTTTCATTTATTACTGAGTTAAATAACAAAAGTTTTATTAATAATGGAGTTTAAATAAGTTATTTAACTTTCAATTTATTATTTAAAATTTACGTATTTAGTGATTAAAGACATGAATTTAAATAGCAAGAACAGAAAATTTTAAAATATGTATATATGTATGAAATAGAAAGGCTAAACATAATTTTGTTTGTTTGAATGGTAGATTATAGCCGTTGATGTGAATAGAGATTCATTCGAGATTGGCTTGCCATTTATAAAAAAAGCTGGAGTTGATCATAAGATCAATTTTGTAGAATCACATGGAATGCCTGTCCTCAACGACCTCCTCAATGACGTAAGTTAATGATGTTGAAGAAAAATGGCAACAATATTGATTATCTTTGTATTGAATGTTAATGTCGTTAATTCACCGTAAGTATTGAATTAAGTATTAATGTTTTTTTTTTTTTTTTTT